AAGTCTCTGATGAGACTGTAGCTCTACTGGTCTGTACATATAACAAAGAAAAAGTAGCACTTGGATTTGAAACTTTGCAACACGCACCAATAAATAGAATAATGTATCTTAATGTAATCTACTTGTGCGCCAAGTAATATTGAAATCAGACCAAAACTGAAGAAGGAGTAGCCTTTTAAAGGAATTTCACAAAAAATTCTATTTTTTGTAACCATGGCAACACCGTTCATCGAAATCAAAAACCGAAGCACTTAATAATGTATCTTAGTGTAGTTTACTTGTGTGCCAAGTTATATTGAAATCAGACCAAAACTGTAGGGGGAGTAGCGTTTTAAAGGATTTTCACAGAAATTTCTATTTTTAGTAACCATGGCAACACCGTTCATCAAAATCAAAAACCGATGCACTAAATTATGTATCTTAGTGTAGTCTACTTGTGTGCCAAGTTATATTGAAATCACACCAAAACTGTAGGGGTAGTAGCGTTTTAAAGGAATTTCACAGAAATTTCTATATTTAGTAATTATGGCAACACTGTTCATCGAAATCAAAAACCGAAGCACTTAATAATGTATCTTAGTGTAGTCTACTTGTGTGCCAAGTTATATTGAAATCAGACCAAAACTGTAGGGGGAGTAGCGTTTTAAAAGAATTTCACAGAAATTTCTATTTTTAGTAACCATGGCAACACCGTTCATCAAAATCAAAAACCGATGCACTAAATTATGTATCTTAGTGTAGTCTACTTGTGTGCCAAGTTATATTGAAATCAGACCAAAACTGTAGGAGGAGTAGCGTTTTAAAGGAATTTCACAGAAATTTCTATTTTTTGTAACCATGGCAACACTGTTCATTGAAATCAAAAACCGATGCACTAAATTAGGTATCTTAGTGTAGTCTACTTGTGTGCCAAGTTATATTGAAATCAGACCAAAACTGTAGGGGAAGTAGCGTTCTAAAGGAATTTCACAGAAATTTCTATTTTTAGTAACCATGGCAACACCGTTCATCGAAATCAAAAACCGATGCACTAAATTATGTATCTTAGTGTAGTCTACTTGTGTGCCAAGTTATATTGAAATCAGACCAAAACTGTAGGGGGAGTAGCGTTTTAAAGGAATTTCACAGAAATTTCTATTTTTAGTAACCATGGCAACACCGTTCATCGAAATCAAAAACCGAAGCACTAAATTATGTATTTTAGTGTAGTCTACTTGTGTGCCAAGTTATATTGAAATCAGACCAAAACTGTAGGGGTAGTAGCGTTTTAAAGGAATTTCACAGAAATTTCTATTTTTAGTATCCATGGCAACACCGTTCATCAAAATCAAAAACCGATGCACTAAATTATGTATCTTAGTGTAGTCTACTTGTGTGCCAAGTTATATTGAAATCAGACCAAAACTGTAGGAGGAGTAGCGTTTTAAAGGAATTTCACAGAAATTTCTATTTTTAGTAATTATGGCAACACCGTTCATCGAAATCAAAAACCGAAGCACTTAATAATGTATCTTAGTGTAGTCTACTTGTGTGCCAAGTTATATTGAAATCAGACCAAAACTGTAGGGGGAGTAGCGTTTTAAAGGAATTTCACAGAAATTTCTATTTTTAGTAACCATGGCAACACCGTTCATCAAAATCAAAAACCGATGCACTAAATTATGTATCTTAGTGTAGTCTACTTGTGTGCCAAGTTATATTGAAATCAGACCAAAACTGTAGGGGGAGTAGCGTTTTAAAGGAATTTCACAGAAATTTCTATTTTTTGTAACCATGGCAACACCGTTCATCAAAATCAAAAACCGATGCACTAAATTATGTATTTTAGTGTAGTCTACTTGTGTGCCAAGTTATATTGAAATCAGACCAAAACTGTAGGAGGAGTAGCGTTTTAAAGGAATTTCACAGAAATTTCTATTTTTAGTAACCATGGCAACACCGTTCATCAAAATCAAAAACCGATGCACTAAATTATGTATTTTAGTGTAGTCTACTTGTGTGCCAAGTTATATTGAAATCAGACCAAAACTGTAGGAGGAGTAGCGTTTTAAAGGAATTTCACAGAAATTTCTATTTTTTGTAACCATGGCAACACTGTTCATCGAAATCAAAAACCGATGCATTTAATAATGTATCTTAGTGTAGTCTACTTGTGTGCCAAGTTATATTGAAATCGGACCAAAACTGTAGGAGGAGTAGCGTTTTAAAGGAATTTTACAGAAATTTCTATTTTTAGTAACCATGGCAACACCGTTCATCAAAATCAAAAACCGATGCACTAAATTATGTATCTTAGTGTAGTCTACTTGTGTGCCAAGTTATATTGAAATCAGACCAAAACTGTTGGAGGAGTAGCGTTTTAAAGGATTTTCACAGAAATTTCTATTTTTAGTAACCATGGCAACACCGTTCATCAAAATCAAAAACCGATGCACTAAATAATGTATTTTAGTGTAGTCTACTTGTGTGCCAAGTTATATTGAAATTAAACCAAAACTGTAGGAGGAGTAGCGTTTTGAAAAATTGTTTACAGACAGACGGACGGACGACGGACACCTTAGCTCTTCTGGTCTCTGACCAGTAGAGCTAAAAATCAACATAAAAACTTATTTAGGTATTGGCCTTTCAGGAGTTTAGATCTTCAAAGATCTTCATATTCACATGGCGATCGACGCATTAATTATTAACATGCAATTATACAATTTTGAAAGGTGAGCGACATAATAAAACACAGTTAAATGGAATATACCTGAATGCAGAAATGTTTATGCAAGAAAGAAAAGTCTTTCTGCTATTTCATCGTATATTTTAAAAATTGAATTGTATAATCCGATGATGGGTTACCGTGTACGATTCTTCAATGTTAGATGTTCTATAGACTGATGGTGTTATCTTCGATTGTTCAGCACATAATGTGGGGGAATCATTTAGCCCTTTACAAATGCAGGTACGATACTACACTCTATATAAAATGAATGGCGTGATCAGCTCAACTGTCAAGAAATATATTTTTATTAATATTGATGAGCACATCCTCTATTAGTCAACTTTTCTTTTTTTTTTACTTCTTTTTTCTTTAAAAATTATTCACTGCATATAAATTCAAATATCTGATTTTGTAGAACTTACATGACCTTTTAACTGCCAGGCGGAGGTAGTGTCAAGGGAATACTATAATAATGTGTGTTTTCTTTTAAATATATTACAATTTAACCCCTAACTCTCTGAAAAATTTATACAGAATTAAATACACGTTAACATTACAGAGAAATACATAAATGTACCGCAAAACATAATGACCGGGAATGTGTATTGACCAAAAAAAAAAAAAAAAAAAAAAAAATATGCGTCGACATTGATGTTTTTAGGTTCTCTGTTAGTGACACCCATGTATATTTGTATCTGTTCATCTCGATTTTGTTTTTTATAGGGGAACCATGATTTTTATCCTTTCAAGCTTTGTTCAGTACATTTCATTTAATAAATATAGCAATAACTAGAGGAAATATTTTATACAATGCCACTGTCATTGCATAAAAGTACTGGTACTGCTAATTTTCACAGGAGTGTTTCTACAGAATTTTTGCATTATATTTGAATAAAAAAACGCTGAAAACATGCTTTTGTATTAAAGTTTTCAATAAATATTGAATCGATACCTGGAATATTTTCGCCCATTTTAATGTCAGATGCATCATTGAGATTATTTTCAGTCGACAGCAAAAATTATCGATTAAAAATGTTGGAGGTTTTTATTTTAACGGAAATATTTAGAACATATATCTCATCAACAAGAGATATTCTCAAACTAACTAGTATGTTCTGTAACTCTTTCAACGCAGCCTTCGTCATTAAGATAATATTATTTTCTTTGCAAATATTTCATTTCTTTTATTTTGATATGGCGATATGGAGAAAACTGTTCGAGACAGCCCCGAGCACCACAAAGTTAGAGCTTTCTCAGAAATCCATTGGGTAAGACGTACAATTTGTCCTGGAGTTTATCTAAATCGTATTTTATACTAGTAATTCAACCCCTAACAAATTAAATCAGTATTTATCTGCAATAATCTTTTATTTCTCACCCAAATACCAGCATTCTTTTTATACATATATTTAACACCCTTTTCTGGGATGTCATTTATGCAAAAATTATCTTTACTTGTACTGAAGCAAGTTGATTTTTTTTTATTGTTTTATAAAAATTTTTAAGAATGTAAATAATAGATAATAATTCATCATAAGGAATATTACATTTGAAGCTTATTTCTCTCTATTGTCAAGTAATGGTATATCAAAAACCAATCACAAACAATTAATATCATCATGTATGCCAGGGACAAATCTTTTTAATATGAATGTTTTAATTTCTCTCAATATCACTTGCACCTTCAGGTATTCAATAGGCTTTCAACTCAAAATGTAAAAATATCATAGATGAAATTTATCTAATCCTTTGAACCTGCATGTACAAATCATTTATGAAACTATCCAAACTATACACAATTAAAGTCTTTTCTTTCAGTAAACCAGCTTTTCCATGTCAAAAAATAGGGGGTGGGAAATTTAAGCCAATGTGAATATCATGATGAAATTAGAAAAAAAATCATATTTGTACAAAGATATCCTGTTTTGCTAAAGTATTTTGGTTGGGTTTCAGACTGGGAGAAGAAGCGACCGATATCTGGTGATTTATCGCAAGTCTTTATTAAATAGTCATTGCACTGTTGGTAATTACTTTGCTCGTTTTTACAACTAAATTTCAGTTTTAATCTATGGTCATATCTGGACAAACGCACGCTTTTTGAAATACATCAATTTACACACATTTCTCAGGCGCAGAGCAGTGTCTCTACCTTTAGATATTTATTTTCCTTCCATTTGTGTGTCGGGTTATGTTGATTTTTTTCTGTATATTAGTACCAAATACACACATTTCACACAGACCTCAAAATTGTTGGAGATATTGCAAACGCAAAGATGGTTATTTATATCTCAAATAAAATCTCTTTCTGTGTTTTACCTATATGTCGTTTTCTGTTTTACTTGCACTAAACAAGTCATTTCTTTAATTAAATTCCAAGACATTTCTAAAGCTCATTTCAAGAATATAAAAGGTATTCTTGTTGTATTTGTCGTAGGTGCATTTCCTCTTCTCGATCTGTTCCTTTATAGAAATCTTCTTCACTTTGAGTACAGGTTCGCTTCTTGATTGTTCTCCTCTTCAGTGGAGAAGAATTTCTGTAAAATCCTTGTTTTTCGGTAACTTTTCTAAATCCTTGACCCGTGCATCTGTGATCCCGTGAAACTCGGGGAAATACCTCAGTTTCATCGACCACACAGCCCAAGCTAGCATAATGATCGATGAGATTCTTCCACACCGAATCACAAGACAGGAGATATTTATTTCCTGCAATAAAAGTAAGAGAAAATATAGATATTTTGGTGAATATTGTAATTAATATTATACTTGGCAGTGGAAGATTTTTGATCGAATACCATGTGGGTTTGCTTTTTACAGTTAGGCAATAAATGGATTGAAATACCGTGTACTTGCATTTCACAGAAGCAGGTTTTACTGTAGTGCTTAGTGAATGACTAATTTTGCATGTGTTTGATAATATTGTTACTGGTATATTAATAAAGATCATTGTACTGTAACAGTTGTTGCCTAAATTCACAAACCTATTATAATTAATCCCCTTCTTGCCCTGGTAAGTGCAACATTTATTTGATGCTCGTCAGAAATGAAACCAAGACTCTTCTTGCACCACCCCAGAGTTGGGTTATCTTCAATACGATATCGTGGCAAAGATCGAACTGTACTGAATATAACATAGTTCCATTCTCCACCTGAGGAAATAAAGACTTCGTTTAGACATTATCCAAAATACAAGATATATTTACTGTAGTACCTTATCTGTATGCATGGTACTTCAGATAAGGAAATGTTTGTTTGTATGTTGTTTTACGTCCCTCTCGAGAAATATTCACTCATATGGAGACGCCACCACTTGCCGGTGGAGGACTGCAAATTTATACCTGTGCTCGGCACTCAGGGAATTGAGCAGTGAGGGATCTTTTTCGTTCCAACACCTACTACGACACGGGACCTCGGTTTATACAGTCTCATCCGAAGGACTGATCTCCAGGTCCCGCAGTGGATTCGAACCCGCGACATAAGGATCAACTCCTTACTCTGCGACTCTAGAGCAGTCTCTCTTACCACTGTGCCACGCGGACGACTGATAAGGAAATGTAGAGATCTCATTTCTATACATACCCTGACTAGCCACAACTGTGTTGACATTGACCTCCTTTGCTATACTAGACAAAGCTGATCTTATCTGATGACACTGAGCATTGTACTGGGACATTATATTCAAGTTCTCTTTGTCAGTAAGGTCTAGCTTCTCGTGATAAAGCAAATGTTTTAACACTTCCACCTGAAAATTCAATCAATATAAGTGTACGATAAACAGCCTCAATGGAGAGAAACAAGTTTTTTTAAAAAAATCTTTTCCAATAACTTCTCTTTTGATATTACCTCTTTGCTTATAATTAAAGATCACAACATGTATGGTATTTATTTCCCCAATTTTAGTTTTACTCACGACTTTGTCTATCTCTCGTTTATTGCTGCAAGATTGTTCATTTCCTTCCTCGGTAGACACAGTCAGAAATTCCTCCTCTCCTTCTATGTGACAAAACACAATAGGTATCTTGTCTCTGTTAACCCAAATTTTTAAAGGGTTTGGAATGTCCCACTTTGGAGAAGACATCGTTTGAAGTCGTCCATCATAAAATTCATTCGAAGGAAACTCGCATATCCCTGGGTGCTACAAAAATAGTAGTATATATGTATATTAAGAGGACAATTTGTCAAGAAATTAAGATTAATTCCAGATTAATTTGACCAAACTTTTTCCTAAACGCCACATGCACTTACCATACGATACTGAATTCGAAGCATGGTTGCTCTGTCAGAGTATCTTTCAAATAAAGATTTTTCGAGACCCAGCTCTGCTGCATAATTGGACTTTAACACAGGTCGTAGTTGTTTGTGGTCTCCAATTAGCACCACCTGCTTTGCTTTGGTAGCAATGATGGCTGCAATACTCTCTGGCTCAGTACACATTCCTGCTTCGTCTATTATTAACTGTTGGATGTTTCCAGTGAGTGCTTTTATAAATCTTGGGCTTATTGCAACTGCGGTTGTACAGAAAACAACTTGATGTTGTTTAATTTCTCTTTGTGTTGCCTCATTTATTAAGTGTCTGTACATCTTCAAATCCTCCAATGTTGGTTCATATTCTCCTTTGGTATATTTACGAAATATTTCGTCATATCTATGTATTTCATCAGATAATGGTTTATCGTTTAATCGTATCAGATTATGCAAAGATATATCTTCCAGCTCTGGGTCAGGTCTTGATTCCTTTGTGGATGTCCTTTTGGAAAAGAATTTACCAGGTGTTGGGAAGACTTTGTTTTCTAAAGAGTTACCATACAGTCGGATAATATCGGGACAATCCTTTTTGTATTTTTTAAGCATCCACTCTAATTTAAAAAAAATGGCATACACTAATTGGCTCATGCTAACAAATGAATAAAAAGATTTATCGTAAAAAGTAAGTCAGAGTAGGGTTATGACTGGACTTCAAATTTTGGTAACTGGGAAACCCGATCTATCATATATATTGTTCAATATAATAAAGTCAAAATGTGTCAATTTAAATGTTTGTTTATAAATGTTTTTTACAGTATTTTGCTACTGAGTCGCCTCATATTCCATTTGAGATCTCTGGTTAAATGTATTCCAGGGTTCTCAATGAGCTATTTTACTGTGTCGGCCCCGACTCAGTAAAATTTCCCCCGAAATATTAACGATCCAAATTTTATGCGTGCGACACAGTAAAAGATTTTGCGACACAGTAAGATCTGTGATAATCAGAAAATCAGAACATAAATTCTCTCTAACTGAAACTTTAATCAAACAAATATATCATCTTTCAATTTTTAATGCATAGCATTTAATTATCTCTCAATAGGGCACACTGGCTTGCTTAATTCACATTGCATTATCAATTATCTCCGAGACCCTTGCTGGACTTTACGCATGAAGGAACAAAGACAAACCATATGTTTTCACACTTCCATGTAACTGTATAATTGCTAGTTGCATTTTTAAAAAATATTATTTAGATACATAAAAATTAATCAAATATATGCCTTTAATTCAGAATCACGTCTCTTAGAACTATGTTGGCACTGTGATTCAAACATCAATCGTAATCATTTAATTGATGTACATGTATTGTTGGAGAATTTAAAGGCACCCCCTAAAAGTATTTTACTATTCTAAAGTTTCTTTCTAAATTCAAAAACTTACCGGTAATTCGATCAACTATCAAAAATCAGGGCAAATTTACTTTTTAAGATAGTAAGTAGTTCGATGGTATCGACCAGAATTTCCTCTGCTCTTCAGTGCATGTGTAAAATATAAAGTAATATATAAAAATATAAAGGTTTAATACTTACAACTTGTAGATACCGATACAATTATATTATATAAGTATTTTTCTTTAAATCGTACTTTTTTTTTAATGTAGGGGGAGGAGGTCGGTTGGTTGGAGTTATAGTATGTACATAATTATATATAATTGGAGACATTCTGTTTTCAATCAATATCCATTTATTTATTTTTCATTAATTTGTACGATCATACCATTTGTGTATCGAATTAGTGGGTCAAAAAGTTGAATACTATTCTGTTACAAATATGAGAATACTAGTAATGCTTAAAATAAAAAAAATAAGAATGATTGTTTTTGTTCATCATTTAGCTTAAAATCAGAACATGTGTAGAAACGATGTTTCAGATATTTTACTTATTAGCCACAAAGTCCAATGACCTATAGCATATATATATAACCAGAGTATCACGTGAGTATTTCCATACAAAGATCTTTGTAGGGATTGTCAAACCATCAACTGTTTTCAGCTGATGATCAATTTTTTCTTATCCCTAAGGGCCTGAACCAACAGAGGTTACGATTTTCATTATTTAGTACCGCATGTAGCGTATTTCTCGTTATGATTTAAATAATGAACACTGTTTTTCTACTTCTAGAAGAACTTAGTTTGGGACGGATAAAGGAAAATCGATAAATGAGCACAAAGATCAGACCCCAAATAGGCGGTAGCGAAGGATTAGAGAATGTCTACAAACACTATAAGAGCTGCATAAACAGATTAGAAGAGCGACGGACTCGGGAAAAGGTAGGAATGGCGCAGCTGACGGACGACTTCAGGTCAGAGCTTTCAAGGTAACGGAGAGCGGAGCAACCGAAGGCAGAAGAAGACGAAAAGAGAGATGAGCAAGGCAAGATTTGTTAAGAATCCATTTGAGTTTACACAGGAGCTGCTAGGTGTAGAAAGAAGAGGAATACTTCACTGTTCAAAGGAAGAAGCTTGGGGGTGTTTACATGAAACACACTCTGGCCCACTGAGAGAAGAACCACTGGGTTAATGCCAACGTGCGGTGAAAGTGGATCCACCACACATTATGATAGATGTGAAGGAGCCTACATGGAAGGAATTGGAGGAAGTGGTCAAGAAAGCAAGATCAGGTTCAGCTCCCGCACCAGTATGATACTATATACATTGTACAAGAGGTGCCAATGTTACTTAGAAATGTGGCAACTTTTCCGAGTAATCTGCAGGAAAGAGCCAAAACCAGGATGCTGGAAGGAGGCAGAAGAGTGTGTTGTACCGAAAGAGAAGAACTCTAAGACAATCAACCAGTTTAAAACAATATCTTTGCTAAATGTGGAGGTGAAAATATTTATGTCAGTGCTAGCAAAACGGATATCAGGGTACATGGCGGACAACATATACATAGATACATCTATACAAAAGACAGGTACTCCGGATACGTAGAACACACAAATGTCATAAACCAGCTCATCAAGGAGGCCAAAGAAGGCGAGAAAAACTTTGCAGCAGTTGTTAGACCTGTCAATGCTTATGGATCAATGCTCCACAAGCTTATTGAGTCGGCGATGGAGCTTTACCAAATACAGCTGTATCAGAGAAGGTTCAGGGGATTTTTATGGCCTACGTCGGAGGAATGCAGATCCGGTTCACTGTCGATGACTACACCACATCCTGGCAAAGAGTAGAGAAAGGGATAGTCATAGGATGTACAATTTCTTCTATCCTGTTTGTAATGGGTATAAGGATGGTGATCAAAACTGCAGGAAGAGAGACAAGAGGGCCAAGGATGAACTTGGGATTTATCAGCCACCAGTCAGAAGCTTTATGGATGATCTCAAAGTGACGTAACGACTCATATACAGGCAAGATGGGTCCCATCAGCTTTGAAAGATAGTGTTTCCGGGACACGCATGAAGTTCAAGCCAAGGAAATCCAGATATCTCGTATTGAGGAAGGGGCGTGTAAACAGACTAGTCAAGATGCAAATTCAAGGAGAGGAGATCCCATCAATAATAGGAAAGCCAATTAATTGCTCGGGAAAGTGGTTTAATGATTCCATCACAGACAGATATCATCGATTACACAAAGAAGAAACTCCTTTTTTAAGCTTAAATAGTTGATAGCAGCGGATTACCTGGAAAATATAAGGAATGGATTTACCAGCATTAGATCCATAATGACATTACGGGACTCAGTAGACGACAGGATCGCAAGAAGAACAGGGACCCAGACAAGAACAGGAAGAGGGTGGTCAACAAAACATCAGTGGACCAAGCAGATAGTATGTTATACTTACGAGACATCATTGGAAACAGAAACACTGGGCGACAGGGCAAAGGAATGTCAAATTTTCAGCAGTGGTAAAAGGCATCAGCAGCAGAGAGGCGCACCATGGTTTAGGCTAAGGTACGGCGCACTGAGGAAGATCAATGGAAAGCAAGAACCAAAGAACTCGGAAAACAGAGGACCTGGATGAAATGGAACTTACCGGAGCGGGAATTAACATGGGCAAAACTGTGAAAAACCGATCAGTTTAGAATCTCGTTCCTGCTGAGGTCAGTGTATGACACAGTCCCTTCTCCTGTAAACTTGCAACAGTGGGGACTAAGAGAAGACCCAAACTGCAAACTGTGTGGTAAAAGAGGGACCATGGCGCATATTCTATCAGGATGTCAAGTAGCGTTGACTCAGGGGAGATAAAGATGGCGACACGACAAAGTCCTGCCGGAGTTGACTGATGTGCTGGAGGTGGAGAGGACAAGGAAACGACCAACAGACATGAAACAAAGACAGATAAAGTTTGTGAGACAGGGTGAAGCAACGGCTGACACAAGAGCAGCAAGGCGGACATCAATGCTGGATAGAGGGCATGACTTGGAACTCAGAGCGGATCCAGGCAGGAAGTTAGTTTTCTCTGATATCGTGGAAACTAACCTATAACCAGACGCAGTTTTAGTGTCCCAGCAGTCGAAAACGTTAGTCACAATAGAGCTGATTTTGCCATGGGAAAAGAAATTGTGAGGAGGAACATGAAAGGAAGATCCTTAAGCTTAAATATGCAGAGCTCATGGTAGACTGCAAGAAAAGAGGATGGAGCGTCTGGCTGTTTCCGATAGAGATCAGCTGCAGAGGATTCCAAGAGCAATCGGCGTGAAAGCTGCTTGCACGATAAGGAGTATCAGGAGAAGCATGCAAGATAGCAATAAGAACACTGGAAGAAGCAGCAGAGAGGTCATCCAGCTAGATATAGCACCATCGAGATGATCTGTACTGGAGGTAAGGGTCCATTGAGTAGTGGATTGGTCACCACTGCTGACCCACCTTCTGGAGGATGTCATGGTTTAGGATCGAAACATCCGGTGAAGGTTGGAGAGCATCTGATGACGATCGGAACCGACAGGAGAATGCCATGGACAGAACTGTCATAAAACGATAGGCATGCATAAAAGTGCCGAGCTGAAAGATGGCAGAAATCCATCTTCAGTAAATGCATACTGCTATTGCGATTATTCCTAGTTCGCGTTCACTATTTCTTATTGCCCGAGATCTTAAATCATTAAATGAAGTATTAAGTAACTTATTAACAAAACAAATTCACAGTTGTCTTAATTTTCATCATTATCCTCATAAAATTTGGAGGTTAGAAGTTCAAAAAAAGGAGTTTTAAAAAAATCCATTTTTTTAATGTAACCAAATTAGGAAAATAGTTTAGCACTGTTGATATTAAAAGGATGTTGGAGTTCCTCATTGACAACATCTATGTAGTCTTTGGAGACCAGTTTTTCCAACAAACTGTTGGAATTCTAATGGGGACTAATTGTGCTCCTTTACAAGCTTATCTGCGCTTATGTTCCTTAGAAGCAGAATTGATATAAAACTTCTACATGAGAAGGAAACATTTGCTGTGGCTTTCAACTCGACATTCCGATAGATATCGACGACGTTTTATCCATTTATATGTCGACTAAATATATCCCCGAGAGCTCGAAATAAAAGACATCACAGAGTCTGTCACATTTGTTTCAAATTTGGATGTTTTACTGATTATAGAGTATAAAAGGCCAACTTACAAATAACTGTGAGATAAACGAGATGATTTAAGTTTTCCATCGTCATTGTCAAACTTTCCTATTTATGTAGTAATTTGCGAAAAACACTGACTTTTACAGTCGACGGTTTACTTTGACATTTAAATCTGCTTTATGTACGGAGTTACAAAATTGATAATAGATAAGAAAACCCTAATGGTGTTTGGGGCACTTACAAGATTAACTGGTATGCAGTCAACGCAAGAGATGATGGGAGACAAAATAACATAGCTTAAATGATTCATTCGTGAGGGTTTCAATCTCATTTTCTTTAGGAATCAAATAACGAAGAAAAAACATTCCAGAAGGAAAACTAAGCAAGAGTTGGAAAATATGGAAAGGGAGGAGGTTGAGGTTGGTTGCCGTTCCCTCCCTCGACAACGTAATATGTGCTTTGAAATGGTCCATTATAATCGCTTAATTAACTGTTATGCTTAATATTTATATCGTAAAAGAGCTTCCATATACTATCCTAGTGTAAAAGTAAGCCGTCGATTGTAAAAGTCAGTGCTTTCCGCAAAAGTTTATGTCTCCCAACTTTTACGATACTCATGAGCATGCTCTGATAAAGATCAATTTTTAAACGGAGGCAGGTTACAAACAGATAAGTTGATGTTACAGGGTTTTTATAACCTCATTTAAAGTCAGCTTTTCGTAAATTCTATGGTCGTTATAATTACCCTGAAAATAAATATAACCTATTATTGGGTTTTGACATTTTATACATATCGTTAGGCTTTTTTTTTTGTGCTATAAAGTTTTGACGACCGTATACTATCTCTTTGATCAATACATAGGGCTCACGGCGGGTGTTACTGGTCAACAGGAGATGCTTACATCTCTTAGGTACCTGGTTCTACCTCTGACATTTCCATGATCCGCGTTTTATGCCCTGCTCATTGGTTTCTACTGTTTGTATTTTTTTTTTCAGATTGATCGCTGTTCGTTATCTTCACCTTTTTCATGATGTTACTTTTGAAAAAAAAAGTTTAAACCTTAAAAGTTACCTGAACACATTTCTTTCATATTTTTTTCATAACAACACTTAATACTTACTGGCTACAAGATCTACAGATTTATTGTTTGGTCCACAAAAAACAACTTGCATTCTTTCATGGCCTTCCTGAAGCATCTGGATGTTAATTTTGTTAAAAAGGTATACCAACTTTATACCAGTGTGGGTTTTTCCAGTACCTGCAAATGGAAATTTGATTTTCGAGGATGAATGCTATTAAGGTATCCTCACGTGACGTTATAGGCCTTTGAAAAAGCTTCCATTAACTAATCCTTGTACCCAGCAGAAAGATATCTTTCACTGGAATGTTTTTTATAGGTAAGAAAAAATATGGTTTAGTATGTGAAGTTTAAAAAAGCTACAATTTCTACAATTATTCCATTCATCTACTGTGAAATCACTAATTATTTGGAGGGGTGGGTGGGTAATTTTCATTGTTTTCGAGGTATGAAGAGACCCACAAATTCATGTCCACCACGAAATGCAAAATTTCATACACAAAACGTTTCCATCCACAAATTCAAATCCCCACAAAAAAATATTTTTTCCTTCAAACATCGAAAATTTATAATTTTGCATTATTCTTTTAAAAAATGCTACAAAGGACAAGAACTCTTTCTTAGTTTTATTCATTCATATATTTCCTGTTTTATATGTCTATCTTGTGTCAGAGTCATTTGAACCAGTTTTCACACATTTTTAGCCATTTCGTGGCCCTTTTCACAAAAAATCTTATTAAATTTCATTGTAAGAGAAACATAAGAATTTGTTCATTTTGATAAAAAAAAAATCTTAAGAGATAAAATTTGTTGTAACTTTACGAGAGTTCTAACCCTCTTGTAATTATATATCTTATATAATGTAAACTTTATCAGATAAAAAAACATAAGTATAATTATTTGAACTATTTTACACACCCTGCAAATAGTATTTACAGTATCCATCTATAAATTAATTGAAACCTTCTGCAAAGTACTTACAGATTCCCAATAATCTTGATTACACTCAATATTTGAGGCGAATGACTTCTGTTTTGCTTTCCAGTTTGGAGAAATTCAAATTTATTTTCATTTTTATCCCATTCATAAACTGGATTATAAAGATCATAAAGCATATGGAGATCGTTGCTAGGGACATCTTAATCTTGAAAGTAAAATTTTTAAGTTCAATTTATTACGAATATTTTCGTGAAAGATTTTCGTAAGGGGTTCTTAAGTTAAAATCTTACTCAAAATATTTAGATTTTTTGTTGAAAGGGATAGAGATTACCGATCATGTGCATTTTCCAAACTTGTTTACATGTACTCCTGTTTATGCATTTTCAACATCTTAAAAATGTGGCAGTCTATATATTTGCTGTGATTATTAATTATATTAAACTAAAAGAAAGGGAAATTTATGCAGTTACTCTACTTTGAAAAATTAAAATTGCGAGGGTGGAACTGTCTTAAGTTTAATAATAAATATTATCCTCCCAATGTTTTTATGTCCTAGTTGCCTACAATGTTTATGATCAAAGTATAAAGGTCTTTATGCGAGTAAGAGTATACTGGATTGCTAAACACACAATAAGAAATCTTATGATGACACTGGAAATTAATGGTTTTCTATCCTAAAGTATGTTTTCATCTATTTTTTTAAATGGTTCGATAATTACCACACACTAGAGAGGGTTTCAACATTATTTTTTAATTGTATATCAATGAAGTAATATTTCCAAAAAAAGATAGGCTAAGTCTCCAATCTTCTGAGCATGGTAATAAGGCTTAACAGTGTAGAAAGTTGATTTTGTTTAAAGGAAGCCAGACTAAGCTGTCATAAACGTATTTTGTGCTTATATGAAAAATATTTTTCAATATTTACATTTCCAATAAATTTCCCTTTGATTCTTTACAAATTAAAAAACCGTTCATTTTCTCATGAACTACCATGAATGATCATGAATATCTCCATTGTTACGTCATAATATCCTGCTTGACGTCAAATCTATAGTGCGAACTGATATTTGCTTTAAAAATGACAGTTGAATGGCGTAATATGTGGCAACTCATCAGAAAAATAATGTTAATATAAGAAATTAATTTAATTTTTATAAATTCATGAGGTAGATGAACTACAACGCTTCACGCCGGCATATTTATCATGAAGCGCTTCATGAAATATGCCGGCGGGAAGCGTCGTAGTTCATGTCCTCATAAATCTTCAAAAATTAAATTCATTTCTTAAGTAGATCCTTAGGAATGAATAGAATATTTGAAGTATGAGAAAGGACTTGGAGAAGCCAAAAACCCAAGCACTTTTTTTTCTTGTTGAAGACCATGTGAAAGTTACAGAATATAGTGAAGAGTGTAAATGAAAAAGAAAACCTAAATAATTAATTATATATTTATTATGTCTGCTTTTGTTCACCTCATTGGTTAACTCGTGACTCTTTACAATAAAAATACATAAATACAGAAAAAACATTTACAAGAATTCCAGATACCCATTTCGCAATTTCTCTTTACTTTAAAAATTTGACCTACCTGGAGGCCCATGTATTAGGCTAAATGTTGAAGTCAAAGCATTCTGAATAGCCTTCTTCTGAAATTCGTTGTTTCGCACAATGCTTTCAAGGTTTACTTCTATAGTCATTTGACGAGCTATATTACAGTACCGTTTATCTACAATAAAGAAAAATTTATGTACGACCAAGATACCGTTTTGAAAATGTAAAATACTGGGGAAAAAAACGAAACAAAAACGTAATAAAACCTTACTTAAATGAATGGATTTTCCATTACATAATGCAACCTTCTTCGCCAGATCAGTTGATTGTCCAAGGCACTGAAGTATAGATTCTGTACGTCTACAAAAGTAAAATTCGGAAAATCTCGCACTCTGTATCAATCATTTAAACAATAAAATACTTTCTTTATTTGTTAGTATGGGAATTAATGTTGCAGCTGTTGCAGAAAAAAATACATAGAATACATAAAAGACATTTTATTGTTTATATTCATATCTATATAAATAATCATCTAAAGTAGGTTAAAGTAGGTTAAATAGTGTATTATTGAAATATAAGTCAATGTACGTTTCGTTGATGGAAGAAACACTCCTCAAGAAATCAATACAAGTGGTAAGCTTAACGGCGATTACTGACTGATACACTGCAATTGTTTTCGTAAGAAACAAGAGGCCCAAGAGCCTTTACGGTCACCTGAGCATAATACAACACTGGAAAGGGCCCATAGAAGTATAAAACAGAGTTAACTGATAGACGAAGCAATGTTGCCCAAGAATTTCAAAAATCTGGTAAAAATACCCTTGCTTATTGTAAGCTTATTGTTATAACCGAGTGATTTCCTTGGGATCATACTTTGTTTTTCCTAAGTCTTACTGGGATGATAATGAATGCAAATATACAAATACAAGGGGCATTTGCCTATTATGTAAGGTATTCTATATATATACAGAAATGTTTTTGTCATTTGCCTAGTGCTACAATTCAGTACACACATACTTTGGTATACAACATGGCTATTTGCAACTTGTCACTTATTACAATAAGTCACCCTAGCTCTCTAGCTGTGATTCTTTGTTCATTTTGATAAAATATAAAACAACTTTATCTTGTCTCTTATTAACCATGACTCTACCACAGACAATTACTCACATACTGTCAAACAGATCACCATAGCGTAGCCATAACGTGAAAATTACAACTTTTTCTAAATATATAGATAATCTTTATGTCAATTTTTCACTTTGTTTTCCAGGCAGGAATCTTACTTTAAGCATGCTTTGCTCATTTAAACCAAACATTCATTTTTATTTTGTTTCTGTATATATATAAAATTCTTTCTTGTATTCTCATTCAATCAATTAACCTGTTAATTAGATTATATACAAGGATTTCTTGATTAACAACATCTAGCAAAGGGGAGTAATTCTCATTTGCATCACTTATTACACTTATGGACTCTCTTTGCCTCCTAGATACCCAGGAGCAAAGAAAAGGCACATACACTTATAGTTATATTTAATACATTTACTGATATTATTGCATTTAGTTTGTTTGCTTAGTACCCAGGGACAGAGGATAAGATTTTCAAGGCATTAATGCTTTTTGGATAATTAATCAATAGAGCCCAACCCAAGCACAAGAGCCCCTGACCCAGTGGCCATAAAATTCACAATTTTGGAAGAGGCACCTTTCTCATCATAACTAAGTATTTAGTTTGCTTGGTAGATACCAAGGTGCAGAGGAGAAGATTTTTAAAGCATTGATTTATTTTTAGTATATAATATCAAATAAGACCCTCCCACGGAACCCCTGACCCCGGGGCCATTGAATTCTTAATTTTGGAAGAGGCACTCCTCATTATCATAACTATGTACTTAGTTCAGCGGCTCAATACCCAGGAGAAGAGAAGATTTTCAAAGAATTAATGCATTTTTACTGTATAATCATTAGAGCCCCGCCCTAGCACCAGAACCTCTGACCCTGGGGTCATGAATTTCATAATTTTGGTAGAAGGATCAATGCTTATAACAATCATGCCAACAGTTTGACTATGATGTCCAGGAGTAAAGAAGAAGATTTTTAAAGATTGTATTAATTTTGAAGGATTTAGCCCCGTCCTTCAGGTCCCAGGGGGGACAGGGGCCATGAATTTAACAATTTGTACTCCCCTTTACCCATACTCATAGATGCTATATGCCGAAATTGGTTAAAATTGGATCAGTGTTCCCAGAGAAGAAGCTAAAAATGTTCAAAGTTTACGACCGATTGACGACGAACGACGACGGACAAAAACAGATAGCAATAGGTCACCTGAGTGACTCAGGTGACCTAATAAACGAGATAATATTCACTGGATGTAAGTATATTATTCAACACACGTATTTTTGCTTATATGTTTACCGTATAACTTCCGTTTTTACACATAAATTATACCTCTAATGATATTTTAAAAAACACATACACATCTGTTTCGGATTTTGGAATTATTTCCACCGAACATCGTGACGGTCTCGTCTCATACAACATTGCTTTACTTGGATCACTGCTGCCACTATGTAGCTTAAAGGTCACTCTATAAGTGGTTTTACTCCGTGGTTGGCTTTCATCTGAGTCTTGTATTTGATCTTGTTGTTTAATCTTTTCCATCTTAGTCAATTGTCCATGGAGAATCCAAATAATTCTGTCGTGTGGATCTTTTGACGATGCGTCCTTAGTTTCAACAGGTCTTTGGTCTAAGTGTTCGGAACGTAGACAAAGAAAGTCACTGTTTACACATTCTTTTTCATCAGGTTCAGATTCTCCTTGTAATATAAATTTCTCTGACATTCTGCTAAATTCTATGTCTCGTTGATTACAAAATCTAGCAGGAAGAAAAAAGTGACCCGATCTTCTTGTATCAAAACTAACAGGTATGTTGTTAATAGTAACAGAGTTTTCGTCAACTGCTGATACCACTGCTTCCATTTCAAGGATGGGTAACCAAATGGTCAAATATTTCGATGCAGTTTCGTATATTTTCTGTGGTTTTAAAACTGAGTACTTGGAAAAAAACTTTATCGGGTCACGTGTATGCTGAAGGCAATGTTTTATGCTACTTGTCATATCAAAAAGTTGAAATGATGGAGAGAAAATTCCTCCCTTTGGTTCGGCTGATATCTGAATACACATGATTTGTCCACGGGAAAAAGACATACTGTACTCACATCCTTGTTTAATAACATTTCCACTTTCCACTTCAGAAGAATGATCAAGAACTGTATCTGTACATGTGTCAACAAAATTATGCTTATCTTCATCTAAACCGAATGTGTCTTCAGTATATCTCCCTGTCAATATTCTTCTAAGATCTGATCGATTTTCACCCAAAGTCATTGTTAAAACAGTTTTCCATGTTTCTTGGCCAATAAATCTTGCTCTTGTATGAGGATTTATTTGCTTGCAAAATGCTGCTTTGGCATCTGGTGATAGCCATCCTTCTCTACTGACTGGTTTTCCGGTTATATCATATAATCTCTGCAACCATTTTAATACCAAGCGTTCATTGTTCGGATCTGTTTTCCTTGTAATAATCGGTTTTTCGCTCAAATGAAGTAAATTGAATGGGATCTCCTTGCAATGCACGGGTAGAAATCTTAATCCTGGAATTATTATTGAAAGAGATTTTTCTGAAAAGTCTTTTACAAAGCCATGCAATATTTGTGGTGTTTTTTTCAGCTGAAACCCCCAAAACATAATTTGGCACTGCTTTTGGAACTGCTTTGCTCTATGCATTATAGTGTTAAATTCTTCGCAAAGATCATGTACTTCATCTGATGTATATGGACAGTAGGTATTTTCCAGAGCTGCATGAATCAATCGATTAACAATTAGGTCTGGATATCTTCGTATAGGTGATGTGAAATGAACGTACAAGTTCATTTTCAGAGAAAAATGATAAAGTTCTTTATCATCTGCAGTTCCAGTACATCTGTATTTAGCTGTCTCTTGAAAAGAAAGCCATTCCTCTAGAATCAAACATTGCATTGGGTGCAGCTCGTCTGTGCAAATTAGCCTTGACGCTTTTTCCATATCATTGCATTTTATGCATTCTGAAAGTTTTTCCCAGACCCACTTTTGAAGTGGCATAACATGCGGGTATCTAATTTGTTTTTTAATTTGATGAATTCCTATAACTTGGTCGTTTCTCAGTGGGTCAATGTGTTGCAATTGGAGCACCATGTTTAGAATTGGGCTGCTCTGATTAATCCAAGATTCAACCATATCTTTGGAAGGAGCATCCTGACAACGCACAGGTATAACGTCCGGAAATTTCCTCCATAGAAATTCAGCAATAGATCTATTTGCTAGAATCATGAATTCTTCAACTAAATAATGTGCTTCTTTTGATTTAAGAATATCATTCTGTACTTCGTTAAGCATTGTTTCAATAGGAAAAGAGAACATTGCATCTTGCATTCGTATGGCACGTAACATCTTTGCTATTTTGAACAACAGTAAAATATCTTCGTCTAGTTCTCCAGGTGGACTTTTTTTCTCGATAATCTTTTGAACTTCTTCGTAAGTTAACTGTTTAAATGACAAAACAATGGTTTTCAATACTTCAACGTTTATTATATTTATTTCATCTTTATTCTTTTTGTGCAACGTAAAGAAAACTGTGATGGCGGGTCTAGGTGTTTCAGGTAGAAGACTGCACAAGTTGGTGGCGAATGGTTCAGGTAACATGTGGTAGGGATTGATGCCTTGTCCAGGATAAAAAGTGCATGCTCTCTCTCGAGCTTCCACATCTATTGCATCATCTTTATTTATAACAGCTCCAACATCGGCAATATGAACCCCTACACGCAAATTTCCATCTTTCTTTCTTTCAATGCTAATTGCATCATCAAGATCTTTAGACTTTGCAGGATCTATGGTAAAAACTTTCAAAGCAGTCAAATCTATCCTATCTTCTTTGTTACTTGTTATTTTGTTTGCTTGAAACTCAACAAGTTTTCCTTCTGTCTCGGTGACAGTTTCTTTCTGGTAGTATTTAGGGACTTGGTATTGAAATCGAAGATTGTGTAGAGCCGAGGACTGATTTTCTTCGATTTTTATTACTCTAATGACGGCAGCTAACGGATAAGGATGGAAATCGGTCCATTTGATAAAAACCACCAAGAAGGTGTAGTTCTTGATTTCTGTAAGATCGATTTTGAAACAATTGTGAAATTTGATGCTGGAAAACTGAGGATCGTACTTGTGAACAAGAATAAAATTCGGATTTTTATTATCATGAATAATGGTAAGCTTTGGGACTGTTTTACACAGGGGTCTCATAAGAAAATTGGACGTGTCATCAAGGACACAGACAAAAACCGGATTTGTGATGTGGTTTGCTCTTTTCCTTTTAAAAATGCCTACCACTTTTCCATATATTTTATGAAGTCTATTGCTTCTGTTAATATCCCTCTGGTACCTAGCAATATATTCTTCTCTGTATTTTTCATAGTTGTACACTTCTACCAATACAACATCTTCATTGAAGCTCTTTCCCGCTTTTGATCTTCCAGATATTTGAATTTCTTCAAGGCCATCTATATCCGGTACGTTTAGAATCTTGCAAACAGATTCGTGTGAATTTTCTACATTAAATCTGCACCGTTTATACTGATGTGGATTAGTTTTCAAAACAGTTTCTAGCGTTTCTGTTGGAATCATTTCTTCATAAAATCTTTTTCCTTCTTTCTCCTCTTGGAGATCGTCTGCATTTGAAAGTTCTAGCCCGTACAGCATAATTTCTTCCTGTAGCATTGAAGAGTTCTTTTTGTCATTGGAATACAGGTTAAGACTTTCCTCAAATCTAGAGGATATCATTTCGCTGTCCATTTGTGTAAAACCATCAACACTGTGTACAGATAATGTTGATTCACTATCGGCATCCATGTTTAATGACTCCGCAATTGAACTACATCTTGAAATAGCTGGGGTACTTGATTGATCATGGCCCATCTGTTTGACTGAAGGGTTTGTGCGATTTTTGATTTCTATAAATAAATTATTTCTAATTTAAGTTTAAATTGTACATGTCGTAAGAATCACTAAATAATTTATTCATAAATAGTAATTCGTGATATTCGTCGATTCTAGTTTGTCACTTGGTATATGTTATTACTTAAAGTTTTTGACATAACAGGGTTCTTTACAAGGGGATTTACCATTGCGGCCCTGCCATTGTTTAAATGTGCGCAATGATTAAACATGCTGCAGCATGGTCAAAATCGGCGGCCGCCATGATTAAATCTTTTGCATTTCAGTATTGACATACTTTCTAATGACTTAAGTAGTTAACAGTATATAATGTTCTTGTAGATATATTTTAGCAATACTGGTATAGTGACTTGTATAATTCCCAAAATTCATAATCATAGATTGTTTTAAAAATCATTAACTTTTGAGAAATACTTGTTAAATTTACCTTCTAAACTTTCAAGGAAATATCGTGTTTTTAGAACTGGAAATGCTAAGACAGGCAGGTGGTATAATATTGCAAGAGAAAACAGAATATGACACTTGTGTTAACACAAGGAAATAGGATATGAATTCAATTAATGATCCAGACTCGCAAGTTTGTCCAAATATTATGTCTACTCGTTAAAATTATGACACTCAATTAAGAGGCCCTCTAAGGGATTAATAGCTGCAGAACTGTAGCTCTCTGCTTTAGAAAATTCGGACAGACAAAGCAGAGAGCTACAGATCCAAGCGTTGTAAAACCTTCGATTTACGCCGCCGCTTTTTTGTCGCTCGCTTCGGCTATTATTTCTTTATTTAATGCTTTCCCCTGCTTTAAAAGTGGTATCCAATAATTATCCATATATTTTACTCCTATTCCTGATACTTTATTTACCTTTCAACGGTCTCAAACAGCCCTTTATGGTTTTGAAATGTCGGTTTAAAAAAATCCCATTCCGACGTTTATGTTATTGGGGGTTGTGCGAAAAGAAGTAATTCAAAGAACATGTACTTGTCAAGAAAATGTAAATAAAAATTTCAGGAGGTTTAAATATAATGTATATTGTCTATAAAGATTAGAATACAACATGTATGTAAAAAAGAAATGAGATAAATAAAACTCGGGCGTGTTGTTTCAGGATGACACCAACGTCGACGTCGGAATTCATTTTTTTTAACTGATATTACGGCCGTCTGGAACTGTTGAAAGGTAAATAAAGGGTGTATTCGATTAAGCGACACGAGTTACACGAGTTACTAGAGTTTTAAATAAAATAAGACGTCTTCGACACTGGTGACCAACTCGTGTTACGCGAGTATACTCCTCAGTTTACCTGGAGTAACAGGTGAAAAAAAAAATGGCGGGAAGTAAAGACGCAATGTAAATGTGAAAACTGTTTCTGCATAAATTTGTCAATCTTTGTATTAGAAATTACAACGTCCATGAAAAAAGTCTACAATATTTTTTTGACATCTTTTTTTCTCGTTTAGTTTTCAGATTAACCTCATCAATTTACTATTGTGCTATCATTGACATTTAAAAAAAAAAGAGAAGTTTATCTTCTTTTGTTTTGACTATGTCTAATTATTGGATTATATAAATGTCTATGTATATTGATCAATAAAATTATTACTATAGATTTAACGATTGTAACATAGATATGTCGTGTTAATTATTTATATAATTCAGTTTCAAAATGATTTAAAATAACTTTATTGTGAGAGCAATGGCAGTTACATATAGAAATCTTATAGATATGGAGGTCGCATCCCCAGAACCAGCTGGTGTGTTCTTTACAATAAATATACACTTAAAAAGGTTATACCTATATGGAAATTACCTTGTCAGCCTTCAATCATAATATTGTACCATTTCATAAGTAATTTTTTAAAGATAAATTTAGTGTAAATATTGAACATAATTTTTACAAACTCAAAGTTAAAAGCCACAGCCAATTAAGACCACAAAAACCATTAAATCACATTAGCTCAAGGTTTATTTCCAACCGGCGTCACAATCTTTTATGGTATAGATTTTACAAATTTACACAAGTATACATGTATGTCTCTCCCAACCTATGACTAACACTGGATTAATGAAAAATGTCAGCTACAGTACTTTTCTGACTAATTATTAAACTCTATGCAAACAGTTACAGGAGGTAAATGCAAAAAATTTCCGAAATTACAAAGCTCAGAAAAGTTTTGCACACTCAGTTATTGAACTATAATTTGAATGCGGATGGTTTTTTTCAAGTTATTAACTTCTCAATCTTTGCATAGAGGACAAATCAAAAACAAATAAAATTCATCTTCTATCTTAGTGTTACAAAATTCACAAAATGGTCCTTTACAATATTTCTATGATGCCCAGTTTCAGTTGCAAGGTTATGTGAAGACATTCTTGTTCTACTTATTTGTTTTTATAAAGAGGAGGCATTGACTTTCTTAAATAATATTGCAAGGTAAAATAATTTCAATATGTCGGTATAAAAATCCATTTTATTGAACAATTAATTTCAGCCATGATGTTTTGTATGAAATTATCTGTTATTCTTTGTATGATAATTGGAAATTGTTTATTAATCATTTGTTTGTCCTGTTCGAACCAGATAAATCCAAGTCCATTTTCAAAAAGTTTTACAACCCAGTTTTCGGAGTGTCTGATTGAATATTTACATTCATTAAACTAAGAAAACATATTTTCAGGATACAATTGTCGGATTTTGTTTTTGATCTGATTTTATACACCCACTCCGAAGGAGAGGGGGATATACTGTTTACCCGCCATATTTAAATAAACACTGTACAACACGAGATGTTTTATTTGGATTTCTAGAGTTCAACTAGTAAGCATGCGCATATTGAACACTAGTGTGACACGGGTTGTCTTAATCGAATACACTCAAAGTTTCAGGAAGGGTTAAAATATATGGATAATTATTGGATACTACTTTTAAAGCAGGGGAAAGCATTAAATACAAGAAATAATAGCCGAAGCGAGCGACAAAAAATCGGCGGCGTAAATCGAAGGTTTTTACAACGCTTGGATCTGTAGCTCTCTGCATTGTCTGTCCGAATTTTCTCAAGCAGAGAGCTACAGTTCTGCAGCTAAGGGATTAATGGAGAGTTTACAAGTGTTACCTAGATTTAACAGTCTAAATTAGATAAATTTTTTTCCTGATAAAGTTATGTTCTTATGCAAAATATATTTTTTTTTTCAAATACATTTAAAATTTTATATAGAAACATCAATGTAATATACATGTAAAGTGGTAGCATGTTTATTATTTTAAAACATTACATTTCTAACAAAACTCTTGGAGCAATTTTTAATTACATAGCATTTTATGCACAGTTTTATATGTTAAACGGAGAACTTTCATTCGCTAAACCTCGGATGATTCCGTCGCCTTCATCAAAGGGATGAGGAACGAATCGGCCGAGATGTGCCGAGTGGGAGAGCTTAGTTTTCTACATCACTATTTGTATATAAGCCTTGTTTTATTTACATCAAACTCGAAGTACTGATATAATGAAGACACATTAGCAAATTATTGCTATGTTAAAAATGTAACTTCCACTTTACAAAGTGTGTTCGCATTATTGGACTTTTGCGAGAGGCGCTGACTTCTACAGTCCATAAATTACTTTTACACTAGGACAATATACGGAAGCTCTTTTGCGATATAAATATTTAGCTTGAAAGTTAATTAAAATATAATAATAGGCCATTTCAAAGCACATATAACGTTTTCTAAGAAGGGAACGACAACTATCCTATCTTCAACCCTTTCCCTTCCCACCTTGACCAACTCCTGCCAAGTTTTCTTTCAGGAATGCTTTTTTCTTCCTTATTTGATTCTTTCAAAAAATGAGATTGAAAGGAGATACTACCCCTTAGGAATAACATCTTTTAAGTTATGTTATTCTGCCTCCCATCATCTCTTGTATTGATTGTATACCGGTAAATCATTTTAGCGCCCCTAACACCTTACCTATAATCACTACTAAGGTTTTCGTATCCTTTTTCAATTCCGCACCTCCATACATAATTGCCTGACGCCACGTGCGTCAGGCATTATAGGGATTAATTTTTCCATGATCCGAAACTAAGCGATCATTCTTAATGAACTAGATTTTGTGCAAGCTGATTCACATCGGAATTTGTTACCTGCATTTAAACAAATACAGTTTTCAGAAGAAAGAATCATATTACTGATGCAAAATAATGATGTGTTTAATTCCTTCAGTTTTTTGGCATGCACATGTTTACTCTTTGCGATTCTTTGTACGGATATGTCCGTTTAACATTTTTTCTGTGTTTCTAAACTACTGGATCAGTCCATTGGCCTTCTGCGAAAGGGGTGACACATTCATTTCGCGCCAAATGTCACATGTAAATTATCTTCGCGACTTTTTCTTGGATTGTTCTATTGAATGGGTGTGATAACTTCTATGGAAATATTCTTTTAACCTTTTTCTTAAGCTTCAGATTTTTTATTAACAGTAAATTTTATCTCATTTTTAAAACACATTGCATATGGGTAGGCAACACTAAAGCAATGGATTTGCTGATTATTCTTACTATTTATCCCATAAGTGGACTAGTCCAATCATAAAAAACTCCCTCCACCTAGTAAATGGGACATTCCTTCTTGATTCAGTCTGTTTTCCACCTTTTTTCAATAGTACGTTTATTAATAATATACGTTACAACGTTAGGTTTTTAAAAAAGCTTAGAAAGTCAGCCAGTTGCATATTATTTCATGCTTTGTGAGGAACAAGGGCTTCCTTTTAATACAGTGACAAGAGTGTAGGTCAGTACCCGTAAAGGAATGGGCTTCACTCCCGTAAGGTTCAAAGTAAAGAATCGGCAAAATGAAGAAGACATCATGATCTGTACTGGTTTTCATTTCATAAAAAAGCAC